TGCGTTCTTACAACTTCTCCATAGCTAAGATCTTGCCTCTCCATACTTACCCCCCTACACTGCTGTCAGACTTGGAACCACGACACCCCTCCCCCTGTGCCCATGGTATCTCTAGAGCGTAGTTATGTACGCGAAGTACTGGCGTCGCCTTTTTGCAAGGGTTGGGGTTGGGGCCGCATTGCTACACCTGCTCGGATCATGCCAGGCGGTCTTGTTGTAGGTTACTCCGGGCGCGCTTGACGGTGTCCGGTCATTTAGTGGCCGGACTGAAGAACTGCCTGGAGAGGCTATTTTGTACTTCCGCTGCAAGGGCCGCCGTGTGCTCCTCCGTTCGGAGGGAGCGTTCGGTGTTTCCATTGACTGTAATTACTCCTCGAGGGCCTGGCATCTTGAGCTTAAGGTATGCGTAGTGCGGTACCGCATTGAACTTAGCGAATGCGGTTCGCCCGAGCAGTGCGTGATAACCACTGCGAAACGGGACTATGTCGAAGATTAACTCCTCGCTTCGGAAATTATCTGGAGATCCGAAGACCACTTCAAGTGTGACTGAGCCAGTACAGTTGGCCTCTACACCTGGTATTACGCCTTTAAAGGTCATTTTGGTGGGCTTAATCCTGGAGGGATCTATACCCATTTTCCGTACTGTATCCTGGTAAAGCAGGTTCAGGCTACTGCCGTCGTCCATAAGGACTCTAGTGAGATGAAATCCATCAATAATTGGGTCTAGAACCAATGCAGCGAATCCGCCATGACGGATGCTAGTGGGATGGTCCCTTCGATCAAAGGTGATCGGGCAGGAGGACCATGGGTTGAACTTTGGGGCGACTGGCTCTACCGCGTATACGTCCCTTAACGCATGCTTCCGCTCCCTTTTGGGGACATGGGTTGCGTATATCATGTTCACAGTCCGCACTTGTGGGGGAAAACCCTTCTGTCCATTGTTGTTCGGCGGCCGGGGCTCCTCGTCGTCATCGCTATGCAGCCCCATGTCTTCATTTTCGGCGTTTAGCTTGCCTGCCTGCTTGAACACCCAACAATCCCTGTTGGTGTGATTGGCTGGCTTTTCGGGGGTGCCATGTATCTGGCACGAGCGGTCGAGTATTCAGTCCAAACTGGACGGGCCCCTAGGATTCCTTTTGAATGGCTTCTTCCGCTGGCCGGATTTAGAGCCTCTGAATCCGGCATTAACTGCCGTATCCTCAGCATTGTCGCCGTTAATGCGGCGCTTCTGCTTGTTGCGATGCGACCTACCACTACTGTCCCTGGTGTCCGAATTACCAGGGTTCTTGGTCATATTGTTGCTACGAGCAAGCCAGCTGTCTTCTCCCGCGCAAAAGCGGGTCATGAGTGTCGTGAGTGCTGCCATAGATTTCGGCTTTTCCTGTCCAAGGTGACGGGCCAGCCACTCATCACGGATATTGTGTTTGAAGGCTGCTAGGGCCTCAGCGTCCGGACAGTTGACTATTTGATTTTTCTTTGTTAAGAACCGTGTCCAGAATTGCCTGGTCGATTCCTCTGGCTGCTGAATTACGTGACTTAGGTCATCGGCGTCTGGGGGTCGCACATAAGTGCCCTGGAAATTGTCGAGGAATGCGGCTTCCAGGTCCTCCCAACAACTGATTGATCCTGTTGGCAAGCTGTTAAGCCAATGCCGAGCTGGTCCTTTAAGCTTGAGTGGGAGGTATTTGATGGCGTGGAAATCATCGCCGCGGGCCATGTGGATATGAAGGAGATAATCCTCGATCCATACCGCAAGATCTGTTGTGCCATCATATGATTCGATGTTTACGGGTTTGAAACCCTCGGGGATTTGATGACCCATTATTTCGTCTGTAAAGCAGAGTGGGTGTGCGGCGCCTCTGTACTGGGCTATATCGTGACGTAGCTTCAATGAGCCTTGTCTACTGTGTTCGGCTCCACCGAATTTGTGGCCGGCGTGACGGTTACCGTCTCGAGCCGTGGGGCGCCCACGCGATCCGTAGATCGATCTTGTTTGCCTTGCCTTGTCCTCCAACATGTCTCGTAAGTTCGGCGCATATTCCCGTGCCTTGATACGGGGTGCGGCTTGAGTGGAGGGCCGAGAGGCCTCTCTGTCGCGACCACAAGGTGGTCGGTCAGCTGCATCAAGTGCTTCCTCCTCTAATCGGGGTAGCAACCTGCGCTTTGGGTAGCTCTTGGAGGGGCGTTCGAGTTTATGCTCTTCGGCCGCAAGGACTTTAGTCCATCTGTCGACTAGCAAATCTTGACCAGCTTTAAGTTGTTGCTGTTTTTTCTTGAGGCTTCTTGCCGTGGCCATAAGCCTGCGTTGAAAATGCTTTTTCTCGACGGGATCCTCTGGCATGACGAATTCATCGTCGTCGAGGCTTGCCTCGTCTTCGGAGGGAGGCATATAATTATCGTCCTCGACCTCTCTGTCTGCCGCTCTCTCATGAGGGCTGGTTTCTCCATCCTCCTATGCTAAATCTTGCTGGAGGGGGTTTTCTTTGGCGCTTCCCAGAGTATTATTATCTCCCGTGCTGGAATCACCGTGTTTGTTTTGGCGGGATTTTGAGCGGCGCCGCTGACGCCGGCGCTTAGGCTGTTTCTTGGAGGGGTCATCCTCTGCTGTTCCATCGCCATCTCCCTCTTTTGGGGTGTCCACCATGTATATGTCATATGACGAGGTGGCTTTCCAGGGCCTAGTAGGCGCTGGTTCTTCATCATCTCCTTCATCGGCGTCCATACCGTCGATATCTTCGGAGTCGAAGTCGAGCATGTTGGTTAAGTCGTCGACAGTGGCTACAAAGTGGGTGGTGGGTGGGCTTTGAATTTCTTCATCGTCCGTACCCCAACCTTGCTGACCGTAGTCCGGCCAGGGCTCTCCTGATAAAGAGAGAGACTTCAGTGACTTCAGGATATCGCCAAAAGGCGAGTGCTGAAAGATGTCCGCGGCAGTGAACTCCATGATCGGCGCCCAATCGAATTTGATCGGCAGGGGCACGGGGGGCTCGGAGTCCGAAGAGGAGTCCGAATCCTTGGAGTCACGGGTCTCGCGGAGTACGGGGCTGGTGCTTGGCTCAATCGCCGTTGGGGTTGCAGCCCCCGAGGTGGCGTCCAACCGCCCATCCCCGATCGGCGCAGTTGGCTCCGAATTAAGGGTCGGAGCCGATGCGGATGCGACCTCCAGGGCACTGTTCGGCGGCAAAGCTAGATCATGCTCGTCGTGACAGTGCGACGCGCTCGGTAGTGGCTCGAATCCGTCGAAGATCAAGTCCCCGCGGATGTCACCCATGTAGTTTAAATTTCCGAATCTGACCTGACAGCCAGGGGCGTAGCTTTCGATCTGCTCCAGACGGCCAAGCGAATTGGCCCGCAGTGCGAAGCCGCCGAAGACGAAGATCTGTCCGGGGAGGAAGGTCTCACCCTGGACTACATCGCTATCGATGATCGTAGGAGCCATCGAGCCTGACGGCGACAACACAGAGGAACTCTCAATGAAAGCACCAATGTCGGTGTCAAAATCGGCGGATCTCGGGTAGGGGGTCCTGAACTGTGCGTCTAGGCCGGATGGTAACAGGAGACAAGGGACACGAAGTTTTACCCAGGTTCGGGCCCTCTCGATGGAGGTAAAACCCTACGTCCTGCTTGATTAATATTGATGATATGGGTAGTACAAGAGTTGATCTACCACGAGATCGAGGAGGCTAAACCCTAGAAGCTAGCCTATGGTATGATTGTTGATGTGTATGTTGTCCTATGGACTAAAACCCTCCGGTTTATATAGACACGGGTAGGGTTAGGGTTACATAGAGTCGGTTACAATGGTAGGAGATTTGCATATCCATATCGTCAAGTTTGCCTTCCACGTCAAGGAAAGTCCCTCCCAGACACGGGACGAAGTCTTCAATCTTGTATCTTCATAGTCCAGGAGTCCGGCTGAAGGTATAGTCCGACCATCCGAACACCCCCTAATCCAGGACTCCCTCGGGGAGTCAAATTTATGTTACTTTGTGTGTGTCCTGTTGGTGTGCCCTGGAGTGGCTTGGAGTATGTAAGAGCAACTCTATTAGAGTTATCATATCCACTCAGGCCTCTTTTGGTTCAACAAGATGTCATTTGGTTGACACCAAAGGAATTTTTTCATTGAGTCTAGGCTCTTTTTTATTTTTCTATGAAATGTGGAGGATAGGAACCAATCCTATGTAGGAATAAGAATCCATTCATATGAACCAAATGGCTCTAAAGGAAAAAATCCTATAAAAATCCTATCCTCTAGAATTCCTATGAAATTTCTTTAAACCAAAGGAGATCTCAAACTGCATAATAACTATCATACTGATCACGGAGCACAAAAAATAACAGCTCTCTAGTATCCACCTCTCAAACGCCATATTTGGAGACCGCGGGGGACTCGTTTGGAGCTCACTCCGAACCCAATTGTCAGCACGGGAGCGAAGTTTTAGCTTCATCCTCCTCGTGCCACAGGTAGGTTTTGAAGCAGCACAGCCTCCACACACCACCGCGCCGGGGTAGACGTGGCCGTCAACCATTTGGCCATTAACACCATGGCCGCTCATGTGAGCCCACTAGTTTTTACACCTAATTCCATTTTGCATCATCTGTTCGAGTTACAGTTTTACAACTTCAATATGCATCATCTGTTGGAGTTGTCACATTTTTTTTTAAATGTAAAAGCATATTTTAGAGATGTAAATTTTTACATCTTCTATTTTACATCTCCAAATTTATGCTCTTACGCCTCCATACATACATACAAAGTAGCTAAGCCAACATGGCATGACCTTGTGCATTATACATGCCCACTTCGTACAAGTTTTACCACAGATTTGACACTGCGGCAGAACGCACATGTTGACCAAGCAGAAGGGGATCATGGTCAAAGCTTATCGCGACACCTCGCGTTGACCAGGCGAAACGAAGGCAGCTCGGAGCTAGCTAGACGACGAGCGTTGCGCGGAGCAGAGCAACCACGTGCGCGCGCGCCGCAGCAGCCTACAGGCTCACTCCGCCGCGGCGGCGCCGTCCTTGCGCCGGCCGAACTTGTGCACGGCGAGGTGGAGCTCCGCGGCGGCCACGAGGAAGTGCACGGCCTGCGCAGGCCGGAGCAGCCCCACCACGCCGCGCAGCGTCTCCAGCCTCAGCGCGTCCGCCATCTCCAGCACGCGCTTCATCGCCTCCGCCTTGGCATCCATCTCCCGCTCCATCCCCTCCGCCGCGTCCACACCTCCTTTTCCGGCGAGCTCCACCATCTTCGTCGTCGCCAACGACTCCTATATGTTCACATTAGTTACCGATCAAAAAAAAGGAGGGGGCAGGGGTTGGTAAACGGTTTACCTGCGCGCCGGCGGCGGCCTCCTCGATCTCCCGTTCCCCCCGGATGGTGCGGCGCTGCAGCTGGTCCGCGGCCTGGAGCTGCTCGGCGGAGAGGCCGCCGAGGTCGCCGTCCCCGAGGCTGCCGCCGTCGAGGAAGGCCGGGAGCTTGGCCTCGAGCTGCACGCCGGACTTGGAGTAGAGCAGCTGGATCGCGGCGGTGGGGCGCCAGCCGCCGCACCAGAGGTAGAGGCTCTCGGTGGCGGAGATCCACGAGGGCGCGAACATGGGGAGCACGTCGGCGGAGGCGGCCGCGGACTTGGCGCGGTAGTAGTGCTCGTAGTGGCCGAGGACACGGTCGACGAGGCGCCGGAGGTCAGCGTCGTCGGGCCGCGCCGTGGCCGCGGCGCGGAGCGCGGCCAGGTCACGCGACTGCTCCAAGATCCAGCACTCGAAGAACTTGGCGAAGGACTCGCCGCCGTCGGAGGCCGGGGCTAGGCTCCCGTTGGGATGCTGTGGCCGCGAGGTGGCGGTCATGGTGATCCAAGTGGCTCTCGCTCGCTCTGCGTTTGGTGGAGGTTTCGATGGCTTTGGAGTGAACCGGCGGAGCGATTTTTAAGGCGGCAAAACGGATATAGTACTACGACATTTCATGGATTTATATCTTTGTTCGCATATATTTTTGCCAGGTAAAGACAAAACAAGTACTACGAGTGAGCAGTAGTAGAAATACGGGTGGTACCGGTACCAGTACAGTCCACGGACACGAACAACAAAACCAAAGATCATTAATTTTCTTCCAAGACGGAGGATAACACCAAAGCCTCCGCATGCCATATATTATTATTATTATTATTATTATGAACACAGTACAACGCAGAACCTCACATACATGCACATACACTCATCTCTATGAACGTATGCACACACATCCTACCCCTATTACCTCGGAGATACAGAGCCGACACAATTTGAGATTGACAAAGTCATCACATATGTCGGTGCTAAACCAGCGGATCTCGGACAGGGGGGTCCCGAGCTGATGATCTTGGTACACTAGAAGTAAAATGGACACAATTTCACCTAGGTTCGTGCCCTCTTGAAGAGGTAAAACTCCACATCCTGCCTGTATTGTATTGTATTGGTTCTGGATGTGGTAAAAAATACAGATGATCTATCTTGAGATTGTATGAATGAGTTCTAACCTCTAAGTCTTCAATGCATGTCTCTACACACCAAACCCCTCGGCTTATATAGGCATCGGGGTATTTAGAGTTTACACATGACCGGTTACAATCTAGGGATAAACATGCTGATAATTCAAATACGTCTTAGAAGTGTACGTCAAGTCTTTGGAGGATTCCATCTTGAGTACGTTGAGGGTCATGGCATATGAGTCCCATTCTTTGGTTGTGAACGGGTCCTCGGCCTGGCCCATGATCGGTGAGCCGACATGGTGTGCACCCCCTAATCTAGGATACCGTCAGTAGTCACAGAACTGGTCGTCAAGCCGAGGACTTGGGGTTCTATCTTCATAACAACTTCAGCCTTGTGGTCTTCAGCTTCGTAGGCGAGTTCCATCCTCCACGTCGGTTTCTAGATCCGAGGTCCTCATTTTGTGCTTGGCTGTCGATGTTCAGGTATAGATCCGAGTGATGACGTACTTCGGATATCCGGGCATCTTTTAACAAGATCCTTTGTGCAAGTAATATATTTTTATTTGGTCCAAGGGCGGAGGGACGAGGTTGATTCCTTGTAAATGAAGTTTTATTCTCCAAGGACTCTCGACGACCTTTGGTCGTTTTTGTGGTCCCATAACTTACCATGACTGCGGGAAGGAGTCATGGTGGGCCCGGTGATCCACTTTTAACGAAAATTTTAACTTCTTTTCCTCAATCCGTGCTCCAAACAAGGCATAACACCTGGGGAACACACAAATTTACTATCGGAGACTTGAAAGTCCCATCATGACCCATCTTATCGTGGTGGGTATAAAGTGTCAGGGGAGGTAATTTTTCCGTTCACCCTGCATGTTGCTTTTCCTGCTGAAAGAACATGCGGTGCCCCCATGTTTGGTTTTGGTAATTGATGACAATCTCTATGGACTAATGGTTGCCTTGAGTTATATTTGAAGGTTTTGTCCATAGGCTTTTCTTGGAGTACATGTGTTGGTTTCAAGGAGAGTTTGTGTCGACCAAGGTGTTATTCAAGGAATTATCCAAAGATTGGTCATGTGAGAGTTGAGCTTATTGCAAGCATGTCTTGAAGAAGAAGATTGTGTGATCATTCATGTCTACCTTCAAGACATCATTCAAATGAAGAGAATTGGAAAGGTTCAAGGATGATCAAGACTAAGTCAAGAGTGAATCAAGTTGATCAACTCACAAAGCACAAAAGATGTACCGAGAGGGATCAAGTGATCCCATGGTATGGTAAGAATTGTCAATTATGCTTTGTGTACTAACCCATGGTCTTCGTGAGAGTTCTTTGTGGGGTTAGGTTGCGGTGTGCAAGTTCAAGTGGAGCATCACGAAGAGATCAAATGCTTGAAGCTTGCCGTCCTTTGTGGTGATAATGGACTTGTGAAGATGTGCGGAAGAGTGGCTCACCCATAGTGGAGTATGGGGGAGCAATCAACTAGTCTTCATCGAGTCAACACAATCAAGAAAGGTGGTCCAACTTGAGGGAGTCAAGATTGTCATCATCTAGCTCAAGTGGACCATGTGCAAGGCAAAGGTTTGCCCTTGATAGGTTTTCTATTTTACCGGTCTCATGATGGTAGTTGGGAGACCGGGTTATAGGATCGATTGCCGTACTATCAAGGGGGGCTCTCGATGAGTAGCTTGATCGTATCGTTCGTAGAGAGCTCAAACCATTGCATCCTTGCATCATCTTTCTTGGTTCTTGTTTGGTTCTCTTTGAGAGTCTTAGAGCTTATGGTCATCTTGATGACAAGCTCGAGTTCATCGAAAACGGAGTTCACATGCATCTTCTATGATGTTTTCGATGTTGGAGGTTTTGCCGGTTCTTCTCGGTTGGAGGTTTCACTCCTCTATTTGTTGGCATACCTCCCCTGACTCTTCTTCTATATCCAGTCGCAGTTTTGATGCTACTCGTCGTCTTGTTTCCATCAAGCTTGAGTTTGCTCAATTCGGAGCTCATATGCAAAAGTTTTGGCAGTTCTGGTTTTCTTGAGAGTGGTTTTTGTCTGGTCCCAGCGGTAGTACCGCGTGCCCCAGCGGTAGTACCGCTTGGAGCTCTCAGCCGGTGTACTGCTGCTTCCGGGCGGTGGTATCGCCAACTTGCTCAGCAAAGACTTGGGCGGTTGTTCCGGCCAGGCACCGCCCAAGTACCGGGCAGGCCTCTGTTTTGATGCGGTACTCGGGCGGTGGTGGCCCGCTTGGTCCGGTCGTACCGGTACCACCGGTGTCCGTAGCGGTTCTACCGCTCAGGACTTAGCCGCCCGAGCGCTCAAGGCCATGCGGTTGCACCGGCCCGGTACCGCTCGACTACCGCACTCAGGGGTGACTCCCTTCTGTTCCTATGCGGTGGTTGAGCGGTGGCTGGGCGGTTGGTCCGGTTGTTCTTCTCAACCGGTGCTACCGCCTGGTCGCCCTGTTGTACCGCCTGGTAGGGTTATGCACGTATACTGTGAGTCCCGGTTGTACCAGGACCAGGAGCGGTAGTACCGCTCGTGTGCGGGCTGAGCACATAACGGTTGGATTTTTCCCCTCCTATAAAAGGGGGTCTTCTTCCCCATTGAACCTAACCTTTTGAGCTCGTGTTCTTCCCCCATTGTTGACCTTCTTTGAGCTTGCTAACTCTCAATCCCTCCATGGATTCTTGCTAGTTTTTGAGGGAAAAGAGAGAGGAGATCTAGATCCACATTTCCACCAATCACTTTCTCCTCTATGTGAGGGGAACCCCTTGGATCTAGATCTTGGAGTTCTTGGTGTTCTCCTTCTTGTTCTTCCTCTCATTTTCCTCCCTAGCATTAGTTGCTCCGGTGGGATTTGAGAGAGAAGGACTTGGGCACTCTGTGTGCCCTTGCCATTGCATTTGGTGCATCGGTTTGAGTTCTCCACGGTGATACGTGGAAGTGAAGTTTGAGAAGCTTATTACTCTTGGGTGTTTGGGCACCCTAGAGCTTGTTCCTCTTGGGTGCCTTGGCGCCCTAGACGGTTGGTGTTGTTCGGAGCTCAATCATTGTGGTGTAAAGCTCCGGGCAAGCGTCGGGGTCTCCAATTAGGTTGTGGAGATCGCCCCGAGCAATTTGACGGGTACCAGTGACCGCCCCCAAGGGTTGCCAAAGTGTACGGGTTCGGTGACCGCCCCCAAGGGTTGCCATTTGTACGGGTTCGGTGACCACCCTCAAGGGTCCCTTAGTGGAATCACGGCATCTTGCATTGTGCGAGGACGTGAGGAGATTACGGTGGCCCTAGTGGCTTCTTGGGGAGCATTGTGCCTCCACACCGCTCCAAACGGAGATTAGCATCTGCAAGGTTGTGAACTTCAGGATACATCGTCGTCTCTGCGTGCCTTGGTTATCTCTTACCCGAGCCCCTTTACTCATGCACTTTACTTTGTGATAGCCATATTGTTTCTTGTCATATATCTTGCTATCACAATAGTTGCTTATCTTGATTAGCATAAGTTGTTGGTGCACATAGGTGAGCCTAGTTGTTTTAGGTTTTGTGCTTGACAAATTAACCGCTAGGTTTATTCTGCATTTGTTCAAGCCTTAATCGTAATTATTTTAAAACGCCTATTCACCCCCCCCTCTAGGCGACATCCACGATCTTTCATCTGCCTCAACGCAACTTTTCCTCCCATCTTTGCTTCTTGAGCTCCAGCACCGGCAAACACCCCGGCTCGTCAAAGCGACCCAACTGGACCAGGAAAATTCGGCCCACATGCCCGGGTTGGCCGATAATCCCCATACCTAGCTTATACCTATGGCGGATATGGGGACGTCCAGATGCGCCCTAGCGCGCTCACCACATCGGCTCCGAGAAGCCATACCTATCCCAAATCCTCTAAAAATTGACTAGTCCACCACTTCAACCGCACTCCTCATGCCTCTGTCCTCCAGTTCCCGCCTCTATGTCGCACACCTCCTCCTTTGCTTGACCTCCGCATAGTATTCCTCGTCCACCATCACTGGCGTCGTCGCCGACAACCCAGTACGCCACCACCAGCATGCATGATGCCTTGACAGAATAGGTCAGGATCCCAACCGTAGCAGTCAGTTGCAAGGCGGAGAACGTCACCCAAAGGGAGTGTCGCCGGAAGCAGCACGAGCGTGGAGCAGCGGAGAAGGTAGTTGCGGAGATGACCTGTACGGAGGTGTCCGGTTATGATGACATGAACTTTGGCCCGAGCAGTGTAGTGACACAAACCAATTCATCTGTCATGGACGCAGGGAAAACTACTCATCAATAGTGGACGGGCATCCAAATTTGAGGTTTCCAGAAGATGCCCCCGTTGCGGCCATGATGGCCGACTCACCCCTATGCCATTTTGCATTACTTGATTCT